TCCTCCTCCTCCTCCTCCTTCTTCTTCTTCTTCTTCTTCTTCTTCTTCTTCTTCTTCTTCTTCTTCTTCTTCTTCGTCGTCGTCGTCGTCGTCGTTGTCGTCGTTGTCATCGTCGTAAAGCCCAGGTTGTTGTAGACGTGGGGTACTAGACAGATGGCATTCACCCACAGTAATCGGCCATTCGGTTGTCCAGATGAACCCCTCTGAAGACCCCACCAACCCTTCTTCTCATCTCTTTGCCCTGGCGCAACCCCCCCCCCCCCCCCACCCCCGCCCTGCTGTCCTACCCTAGCAGTGCTAACCACCCACGACCATCACCCATCACCATCTTGGCGGGGTGACCTGACCAGACAGTGGTTGAAGCCTTGCAGGCACCCGGGCTAAGCAGAGACCCCTAGTCCAGGTTGTTGTACAGGCTGGATGCTAGACTTATGACAATACTCAGTTGCTTCTTTGCAGCCCATAAGGCAGTGACTGACATCTTACGAATCATTTCTCACAATCCTCTGTTGTTTCAGAGCAGACTGCACGAGCCTCCGAGCTGTTGGGATCACTTCTGAGTCATTTCCTCCTTACGTGCAACCATTGATCAACTGGGAGGGGTACATTTGTTATCAGCCATTGGAGGCTTCTAATTTTGATTGGTCTTATCTTCTTAAATGTAGTCCTGGACTCCATGTTTTTTTTTTTTTTTTTTTTTTTTTTTGTTTCTTTTGACTAAGCTACCTTCTTCTCTCAGTTTGTTCAACCTCACGCCAGCTACCTACATACCTCGCGCTATCTACCCTAATATCCAGGACATCCAGGAGAAGAACTTAGGGGACCACGTCTATGCACCTAAGGAACGGCTGGCTCATGTATCATAGGAACACACTCAGGAACACGCTCAACTACATTATACACAGCACTTTGTGATATGGAACAAGAAACACATGTGACAATGCCACCACCTATACACAGCATGCGTCAACATCCTATAGCACATATACAGGCATAGACACATCAGCATATGGCATCGACTATATAATTAGTAATGAATAGTATTTGATAGTCAACAGGTTACAATATCAGTACTGGGTCATAATAATATCACTATGGGCGACAGCTCGCTGAAGTCTGCATTTAGAACAGATCTGAAGAAGGGATGGGCCCTTGGTCTCCGGGCCCCTCAACCATACTGACAACTCATACTTGTATTGCTTTCGTTTCATAGCTCTTGTTTCTTATATTGTACTCTACAGGGACGCTGGACCCGATTTCCAGCAGGTGACGCTCCCCACCAATAGATGGAGCCTCCCCGACGGTGCTAGCGGTGTCTGCTCTTATCAGCACCCCTACCAGCTGATCAGGTTGTTTAAAAAAAAAAAAAAAAAAAAAAAAAAAAAAGGAATCTGTGGAGGGAGTAGCACCTCGTCTCCTTCATATTCCAAATCGAGAATGTTTGGTCGGGACTGCAACTCTGCGTTGTTCCTCCCGAGGGTGTTCTCTTGTATGATGGCGGACCGTGAAGCTGCGATCGGCTCAGCAGGTACTCCATGCCCAGCCAGAACGCTGTAGCGCATGGAAGCTATGGTCCTCCATGCGCTCCATATCATCCCTCCCTTGAGTTTGCTGTCATTTGGCATTAGCCATAGCCGGGTAATGGCCCCGGTATCTTAAATCTTTCGGAATTTTCGAAATCCTATGTAAATTTTCATTGGGGACGCTGGGCCCGGTTCCCAGCACGTGCTGCTCCCCACGAATAGATTGGAGCCTTGTTCCCCTAAAAAAAAATTAAAAAATAAAAATAAAAATGTTTACCAGTGTGAAGGATCTAAGACGGAATGAAGAGAATGAAGAGGACTTCAACTAGGTCAGAGTGCGAAATAGGTGGATGAGGTTTAGAGAGGGCTTCAGCAAATCATAAGGGGATGGGAGGGACAAGGTCAGATGGAAAGTGAGGGGGGGGGTGTAGGGGAATGGGAGGCTGGCTTGCAGGCAGAATGGGTGACAGAATGGGGGGGTAACAGAATGGGAAGGTTACCTGGGCGAGATGTGTAAAGCAAGTCAGGTCAGCCAACCCCTCTTGGCCAGAATGCATATCAGCTATCTGCAAACACATGCTACAACACAAGCCACAAAACAAGGGTGGGGGTAGGGGAATGGGAGGCAGGCTTGCCTACTGGAACTGGAAGTCGAGCATGGGTGACAGATAGAACCCGGCCCTGAGACTCAGACAGCAAGGGGCTGTTAGAGGGGCGAATGGAGTGAAACATTAAACTGCCTCCAAGTCTCTTAGTACCGGTCAGCCTTGGGTTCTGAGCATACTATCACCCACTTTAGGCTGCCAGGGGGCAAGCAAATCGGGCTGCTGGGTAATGCTACGCGCTAAATTTCGAACTTTGTAGGAGGTCCCTGCAGCACACTGTCATTACATGCATAGCTCTGTTTAAACAGTCAACTGCAACAACTGCAACAACAACAGAATGTTTGCTGGAGGAAGGGGAGGTACAGAACATTACTTAGAATCGCTGACCAATTCTCCTAGAAGCAGCCAGGAGATCTGTGTATACTACCGCTTACCTTAGGATGTCATGTACGCCAGCAACTCAGGCGGATGTGTAGTTCTATCTGCCTAACTTCATTCCTTATAAGTGAGCCCTGTAGCTCGCAGTCACTACAATTGCATGTCTATTCACACAAACAACTACAATGATCAGGGACGCTGGACCCGCGTTCCAGCAGGTGCTGCTCCCCACCAATAGATGGAGCCTCCCCGACAGTGCTAGTGGTGACTGCTCTTACCAGCATCCTTAGCATCCGTTCGGGTTGTTTCCCAAAAAAAAAAGGAAAGCCACTGGATTGAGTTCATTCCTTTTTTTTTTTTTTTTTTTTTTTTTTGAGAGAGAGAGAGAAACAACTCGAACTAGCGCTAGGGGTGCTGATAAGAGCAGACACCACTAGCGACGCCGGGCGGGCTCCATCTATTGGTGGGGAGCAGCACCTGCTGGAAAATGGGTCCAGCGTCCCTGTACATGGTAATCATTTGATTATGCAGTCGAAAATTTGTGATGTGTATGAGCTTAATCCATTGCGCCGTGGTGAGCAGCATTGATTGCCCTCCTAAGAGGGGATTAACTGCTCATTCACACCGTGTCCATGCTGGAAAACGAGTCCAGCGTCCCTTGTCGTCTAATCAACAGAGCTTCCAAAACAAACGACCCAATTAGACAAAACCCAAGGACGCTGTAACGCAGATTGCAACAACATGATTTGTATCGGCTGAGACACCGTGTTGTATGATTATGTCCCCCAACCCGAGACTGTGTACATGTGTCGATTCTGTATCTTCCGGCGTGTAAAGACAAAACCCTAAGTGAGAGACTTCGCCAGCCAAAAGTATGACACTGGCAGGGGCATTGATTACTTCCCTCCGCAGGGAAGGGACGGATTACTTCCCTGCGTAGGGAGGGATCGACTTCCCACTAAAAAATTTCCTAACAAGCCCGCCACAATCCCTCGATATCGCAGGCCGGGCAACATCGAACACCTCCAGCTATCCCACCCCTACCCTCTGCCGAATCACATGGACGAGTTCCGTTTCTAAGTTGGGGGGGGGGCGGAAGTCAAAAACCACATCACCTTATCAAGCCCATATCCCACCCCGTCCGCTTTCAGCATCAACCCTGTGACGCTAATGATAATCTCCGATGCATGGATACCATCCATCTCCAACCCCACTACTTCCTTGGTCATCGCCCCCTTCATCGTCTTTATTGTTGTTGTTGTTTCTGTCGTTATTGTTGTCGTTGTCACTGTTGTTCTTGTTGTCGTTGTCGCTGTTGCTGTTGTTGTAGCCGTCAATGATGTTGTTGTCAATGTTGTTGTTGATGACATCGTCAACAGCGTCGTTGTTGCAGTCAACCACACAGTTCCCACAGTCAGCATCCCCGTTGTTATTGTGATCAACGTCGTTGTTGCAGTCAACCACGCAGTTCCCACAGTCAGCATCCCCGTTGTTATTGTTGTTGTTCATATTGTCTTTATTATTGTTGTCGTTATTGACCTCGAAGCTTCCCTTCACGCCGTCGTCCTTGTCGTCGTTGTCGTCCATCACATCCCTCTCGCCACATCTCCACCGCTCCTCCAGTTGATCGTGTGATGTTGAAATCGACGTCGTTGTTGTCGCCGCTACTTCTGATGTGGAGAGCAGAGTTATCTCATCGGATGCAAGCCGATCTTCCAGCAGAAAGCGCAAACCACGACCCTTAACAAAAAGAGCCTTACAGGTATTCATCACGCCATCCGCCCGCCGCCAATCGATGTATGCGTCGAGCTGGGGATCCGGCCCCTCCTCCAGCTCCCACATAACATCCAGGATGTCTTCGGCCGTGTCGTTCAACCAGCCCGCCAGTAAGATCGCCCCCCCATCGATCCCTGGCTCTTCGTTTGACCGCACAGACAGTGCCTCAACAAGCTCCTGTAGCCGCCTGCATCCTTTCTCCAAGGTGGTCAGCAATTCTTCTGCTCCGCGTTGCAGCTCCCCTTTGTTATCGTGTTGTAATGACCCCGCCGAGTCCATCGCGCCGCTAATCAAAGTAATCAACAGTTTATCCATCACATCCCCTATACACGCGTCGTCGTCCGTCCAACCAGCCACGCCTTCCACGGCGCTCACTGCCATGTGTCGGGCGCGAGTATAGGCCCTGCTTCCCAAGGGAGAGCGCCTCCCCAGGTAGCAGGTCGAGCCAGGTGCCACCAGACCTCGCTGGTTGGGCTAGCGCAGGTTGCTAGCGCAGGCGCTTTTCGATCGATTGAGTTCATTCCTTCTGGAGAAATGAAACTTGGCCAGGCCAGCGGATATATGGCTATGTGCCCTTCTTCCGTCCTTCCGTCCGTCCGTCCGTCCATCCATCCGTCCGTCCGTCCATCCTTCTGTCCATCCTTCCGTCCATCCTTCCTTCACAAGGGTGCCACCAAAATCTGAACTCTGGAATAAGACCTGAGCAGCCTGGGAGGCTGGGATAAAATCAAGCCAGAGACTTTCAGAGAGCCAATCTCAAAAGCAGAGGTTCCCAGACAGCCTCTGGGCACAGGGTTACAGAGAAACAACCTCAAAACCACAGGTTCTGGCCAGAGGGTTTCCGAGATCTGATTTCAAAAGCACAGGTTCTGGCCAGAGGGTTTCCGAGATCTGATTTCAAAAGCAGAGGGCCCATCTTAAAAGCAGAGGTTGGGGTTTTGCCACAGGGGTTGGTAGATGTCTTACATCAACCGAGTGGAAGTTGAGATTGCACATCTGTCCTTCAGTCCAGAAGGGTGGTTAATCCCCTCCTAATGTGGGTAATCAATGCTGCCCGTTGTCATCAACAACTAATATAGGCTCCTATATTGCACTTGGGCGCTGGACCCGGTTTCCAGCAGGTGCAGCTCCCCACCTATAAGAATGGAGCCATCTTCTCCTTGGAGTCCTATTCGCGGAGGGTGCTCTTATCACCTCCTCGAATCGGCTCCCTCAGATGTTTCAAAAAAAAAGAAAAAAGCAGAGGTTGTCAGATAGCCTGTGGCCAGAGGGTTTCAGAGAGCCCATCTCAAACAGCAGAGCTTCTGAGGCAGCCTCTGTTTGGTAATCGGCGGAGCGGATGGGATGGGATGGGATGGGATGGGATCGGATTGCATCCGCCACGCGGAGCAGCAGCGCTTCTCAGCAAGTGAAAACTCTGGCGGCTTGGGGAGAAAAAAATAGATTGAGGGTGGAATTCTGCGCATTGAAGACATCTGGGCTGAAACCGACCACACTTGGAAAGATTCTACACACTGGAAACGTCGCCCCCCCCTCGATAGGTGTCTAGAACCCCAAGGGCAAGGCTTTCTCGTCTGTTCTACCCGGACTTCGATGTTCTCTATGCTTTTCCGGTGATAAGCAACCGGACTGCTGACCCCTCAGAATAGATGGGGCCTTTGTTTTGTTTTGAAAAAAAAAAAAAAACATCTGGTTTGAAAGTGATCAGACTTGGAAACCTGAGGCACAGCTCAGAATGTCTTTGGGTAGACTTTGGGCATCGTCACACCCCACGCACGGAATGTGAAAAAGACAAAACCTATGGCTGGTGTGTCGTTCTGTGCTTTGGCGGAAGATACGTGCTCCAGTTTTGCACATTCCGACGGAGGCCCTTTATAAGTTTGGAGTGTGGAACAATACCGTAGGAAACCATCTCTACAATCCCAGCTGGATGCACACATCTATAATAATAGGAGATTGAAAAAATGGTCCTCCCTGATCCCATTTTGTTTTCACCTGTAATGTGGAAACGAGTGTAGGACCAGTGCAAGAGATTAAAGGACGGCACATACGGCACAATAATCCATTTCTTCCTACCTCCGACGATTGTAGCGCCATCCATTCCTAGAGATTAAAGGACGGCACAGCCATTTCTTCCTAGTACAATCTCAAGGATCTCCTAGAGATACCTTGAGATTCTAGGAGCGTACTGGTGGGCCCCCATATGAGGGACCGGTGTCAGACTGCGCACTTGCCGGAGCCGGATTAGGTGAAACTCAGCCTCTTTTTTTTTTGGTCTTTTTTTTCTTTTCCTTTCTTTTTTTGTCTTTTTCCTTTTCTTTTTTTTTTCTTAAAATTGGATCATTTCAATTCATCTGTCGATTTATGCGTGTCATCCTTACTTGCGCAGGGGCCATGCTAAAGTTCTCTCTCTGTAGCCTTCCTGAAAACAGCATCGTGGTGGGAGTTGGTGTTTTTGTATGAAGAGTGTGGGGAGGTGCTATCTGCTTTGAATCGCAAGGAGGTGGGTGGGTTTGCGGGGTCTCTGTCAGCAGTTTGGGGCCTGTGGGCACAGACCCCTGTCCCTGTCCCGCGGGTGGCAGGGCGGATTGGCAGGGCGGATTGGCAGGGCAGGGGTTGGTAGTAACTCTGGATGAATAGAGGACATGATCAAGTAGCGCTGACGGCTGGTTCTTTTCTGTGATTTTGATTGCCTTTTGCGTATGGTTTTCTGTCTATGGTTGGTGGAATTTGGGTCACTTAATTAAATTAGGGTTGTCACGACTGTTGTGATTAGAGTTTCTTGGTGATAGACTTAGATTTTTTTGATGATAATTTTCGTTGATTTTTCAGTCGTAGAAGGGGCTGTGGAGCTGACTGTGGGGTGAAATCTAGTGGTGCCCTCGATGTGCTTGGCCGGTGATGCCTTGCCCGCTGAGCGCCTCACCTAATTTTGTAAGGGACGCTGGGCCCAGTTCCCGGCTTTTATAAAGACTTGTATTCTTTCTAAAAACAAAAAGAAAAAGAAAAAAAAATAATTGTAACGGCTGTCCCGAAGGACTTTGTCGTTTTCTTACATCGCAGCCTGGTTTAGGATGTGCTGCATAGAGCAAAAATAACTGAACTGGGTGCGGGCAGAAGAAAGATGAGGTAGGTAGGGGTGGTTCTTGTGAGCACCCATTACCAAAAAAGAACAACAAAAAAAGAACAAAAAACAAAGAAACTGTTCAGAGAAAGCCCAAACTGAGAGGTTACAAAAACTGAACAGAACCTAGGAGCCTAGCTCAGTTGGTACTCAGAGAAAGCCCAAGCTAAGAGGTTACAAAAACTGAACAGAACCTAGGGGCCTAGCTCAGTTGGTACACCCAGGAACTGTTGAAATACGATGACCAGAATAAAATCACTTCTGAATTACCTGGGCCCACTCAGTTCAATGATGATATCTCAAGGCCGTCACCCTTTTTATAAAAAAAAGAAAACAACGGATGCGGCATGTTTTGAAACCCTAAAGGCGAAAAACACTTGTGCCGCAGAAAAACCACACGCCAACTCGAAATGAGCGATTGTGGTCCAAAAGTATTCGTTGGGGATTTTTTTTTTTTTTTTTTTTTTTTTGTTTCCCCTCTGACACCAAGGCCGGCCCCTGTATATATAACACCCGGTCTGAAACCACGGCAGTCGGTACTTCCGTTGCCTTTTTCGAATCGGCACCGTTCTCATTGCCGACGCGTGTTTTTTTTGCCCATTCGATACTCAAAGGTGGCATGAACGTACTTACCCCCCAAAAAAACTGAACAGAGGATACACTCCTGAAGTTGTCAATTTGCAGCAAATTGCAGAAGCCAAGGCCCATCACGTGCTGGAAACAACAGACACTGTAAAGAGGACTCTGAGGGGAATCCGTCCCCTGATTGCTGTACGATACCATTGAAAAACACCAGGGAACAGACTGGAGAAGGGACACAAAGCGATCCGTATCATAAGAGAAAAAATCCCAAACACATTCCCCTAGCGCATTAGCCACTTTGTTGTATTCTCCCTTGATAGGATCAAGTTGATAGTCATACATGTCCGAGAGTACCGACTGTGTTTTGAGTTTTGATCCAGCGCAAGGTCTCATGGTCAGATCTTACATAGAAAAATCTGCCAAGGAGATAGTGTCTCCAGTGGACGAGCGCTCGGTACAGGGCATAGAGCTCACACTCATAAGTAGACTTGGCTAGTTTATGAGATAACATCTTTTTACTCATATACTCGATTTGTCTCAACTTTGGCCCCTCCTTTTGCGCAAGGACCGCGCCTATGCCATATTGGCCGGCGTCTGTGGTCACGACAAAGGGCTTATCAAGATCAAGAAGTTTGAGGACTTCATAGTGTGTCAGAGCATACTTCAATTTTTAAAAGCTTGCTTCACACTCTTCAGTCCACTCCCAAGGGGTGTCATGTCGAGTTAGATCTGTTAATGGGGAAGCTATAGTACTATAGTTCATTACAAACAGACGACAGTAGCCCGTCATCCCCAAAAATGATCAGACCTCAGTAACAGTCTGAGGCCTGGGCCAGTCACGTATGCTGGCCACCTTAGCGTCATCCGGCCTCAACCCATCCGCGGAGATTTCATGACCCAAGTACAAGATCTTGGTGCGACCAAACTCGCATTTTTCCAAATTAACCTTGTATTGGTGCTGTCTTAGGAGACCTAGCACTATTTTCAAGTGCTCAGCGTGCTCCTCCACAGTCTTACTAAAGATAAGGATTTCGTCGAGGTACACGACGATAAACTTGTCTAAGTATTCATGAAAAATCTTATTCATCGCGTGCTGGAATGTCCCAAGTGCATTGCATAGGCCAAAGGGCATTACCACAAACTCGTACAAACCGTACCTGGTCTGAAAAACGGCTTTGTGTTGGTCCTCAGGTCTAATGGCAATTTGGTGGTATCCGGACTTCAGATCTATCTTGGTGAAGTGTCGGCATCCCTGCACTCTATCCAGTAGGTCGTCGATGCGGGGTAGGGGCTCTGCATTCTTAACGGTGTTGGCATTGAGGGCCCTATGGTCAATGCACATTCTCAGGGTACCTCCCTTCTTAGGAACAAATAAGACTGGCGCACCGTACGGGAAAGTACTAGGCCGAATCCATCCCTTTCCTGTGAGCTCTTTGAGCTGGTGGTGGAGCTTATCCAACTCCGCAGGAGACATCCTATAGATTCGTCCTCGAGGTACCTTACTACCTGGGACAACTTCTATTGCATGGACAACCTGCCTTTCTACCACTCCTGTAGGCTCCTAAAAAAGGTCAGGATACTTAGCGACGACTGATTCTATCTCTGGGGGTGATTTTACAACCTCCCCTTTCTCAAAGACAAAGACTAGATGCATGCCCTCCTCGCGATTTTGCTTATAGTAGTTGTTGAAAGAGGAGGCACACATGCAACCGTAGTTTTCCACTAGACTGCTAGCTTTAAACTTTTGCAGT